GGTAGTGAACGTGCTGCGCGTTCTGCACAGAGACAAGCAACACGAGCAGCTAAAGGCAACCGAAAACTCAGGCAATGTTTCAGCCTCCAGGTAACTGCAGCTTTGAGGACTCCTCCTAATCTACAACGTGATAAAGATGCGTTTGCTTATTTCTATGTACTTTCTATAGAGAGGAACAGTTTCAAATGTAAAGATTTATTAGTATTCTTCCTCTTTTCCTCGCTAAAACAAAAACACTTTCTGGAGCTTCTGCCCTTATCAAAGGCATGTAAACTGGTTCATTTATTTTTTCACCAGCACAGCCTGCTACCGTCTGGCAGCCCTGGAAAGGCAAAGGCCGAGGGGAGGCTGGCAGGGCACGGACGCACCTTGGTCTTGTAGCGCTTGCCACACTTGGGGCAGGGGTAGGGCCGCTCGTCGGAGTGCACCCTGTGGTGCCCCTTGACGTGAGCAATGGTCTTGTAGAGCTTGCCACACTCCCCACAGCGGAAACGCCACTCGTTCACGTGCACTTCTTGATGCTTTTTTAGCAGATAGCCTTTTGTGAACTCTTTGCCACACTTCTCACATTTAAAAGGCTTGTTATCTAGAGGGAGAGAGAGAGAGAGAAAATACAGCGTATGGTTGATGCAGAACAGACAGTGGTATCAAAGCAAGAAGATTCTGCCGTTGTTGCACCCAAGTGGCACCATTCAGCATCAGAGGAACTGAAATACCTTGTCACTAGGCAGTAAGAAACCAAAGTAATACATTTTATAATTTTACCCATCGGTAGCAGCAGCTGAGGTCAGATAGATCAGGCTAATGAAAATGGTGCTATTATTCACTGCAGGTCTTACAGGAATCAAAGCTTGTCTGAAGCCTGTTCCTGGTGTTGCTGTCTGTAAAGATCACAGCTAACTGATGGCTGAAGAGGTCATAGAGGCTCCTCTCTCAACACAAGCAGAAGGCAGGGAAAACGCTGGTCCCTTTGCCAAATGCATTGCCCTCTTATGCACAGGGCTATATAGTATGTGCCAGGAGAACAAAATTCTTGCAGGATCCTAACGTGGAGGAGGAAGGAAGTGATGTGCATTTTCAGTTGTGAGCATGTGGCCTTTGCCCCATTCCAAAATGAAATCACCTCAAATATGGTTCCTTAGCACCTGTCAAAGAGCTGTTTCAGCCTGTATTCCCTTTATATTTTTCTTCCCTAAGGAAAGGAAAATAGCTGAAGCTTCCCTCTAGCTCAACGCGAGTCAATGCTCTGACCTTTTCGGTATTTGTGTGTTAAGCACCCACAGAATGAGCATGGCTGCAGTGCTCCCAGTGAAGGCAAGCTGAGGCCAGGGAGGCTGTCCTGCATCGCAGAGCACAGGAGGAGGGACACGTTTGGACAGCGGCGCGTGCACCCGACCTCACCTAAGTGTCCCTTGATGTGCGTTTCCAGGGATGTAGCTTCACTGAAGACTTCACTGCAGTGAGGGCAGCTGTAACTTCTGCATCCGTTTGTTCTTTCTGTGTCTGTCTATTGGGGAAAGAAAAAGTACAACGTGTTTTTTGTGCTGTTGCGCTCCTAGCCACATTGCCATTAAGTATACAGGCTTAGACAAGAAAGCAATCCATATTATCAAATAGGAGGGAGCAATAACACCACACTTGCAGCGTGTTGGAAAACATGGCTGTGAAAATCCCCTCATCCTTGGCATAGGCAGCGGGAGAGATGTGCTGGGGAGAAGGTGCAGGGTGATCAGACTAAGGCAACTCGTCACAACCACGTGCGGACACAGGACAAAACAGTTAACCAAGCTGCAAAGCGAAGTGCAAACGTACAGACTGTGGTTGCTGTGTTTCCACACACTGCTCCCCACACGGCTCCTCATCTGCTTCCATCACTTCGTTTTCTAGTTCTTCCGCAGCAGCCCCAGCAGGTTCCTCTGGCTTCTGCACGTCTTCCATAGCGACCCTCTCGATGACGATCCCGGAATTCCTCATGGCCTGCCGCAGCAGATTCTCACTGTTCGCGTCCCCCTCGCACGGCTGCTCCTCAGGAGGTGTCGGCTGAAAAAATAAACAGTCTAGTGGTAAGGATGGCAAATTCAAACCCAAACTTCCTGTTACGACAGTGATTATTACCAAGATGATCAATGCTGTGATACAGGGTAAGAGGAATGAGGGAATAAGCTTGGACTGGAGAGGAAGACAAAGCAAATCTATAGTCTGAAAACATAAAGCCCAAGGGAGAAGTCTTTGCTCCTACTGTAGAGTCTTGTATAAGGGCATGGTCAAACAAAAAAACAGCCTTTAAACTTAAACATCATCCAGTATGTACGTGGTGGGAACCTCTACAGATCCCCCCTGCATCATGGACATGCTGCTAAGTATCAGCAGCAGCAGACTGCCAGGAACAGGCAGAGCCAGCAGTTTGCTGCCTAAGTTTTCTGATGAAAAAGGAATCTATTTAACCATTTATTTCCAGCACACATTTATTATAGCTACATAAAAAGTATTGCTTACGAAGTATTTCAAATATACGTTTGTGTAAAACGCATGAAGGGTCTTCGGGACAAACAACACTCACCTCTTGGTCCAGAGCTTTTGCATCAACAACAGGGAGTTCCTGCATTTGGACGTGAACTTCGTGGAGAACGTTGCCTTTTGCATCTGTCACTAGGTGAATCACAGGCGGGGACTCCAGGGATTCACTCGCAATGGATGAAACCGTGTCTGTGTTTGAACTACAGGATCCTTTAAGAAAAGCAGCAGAATGAATCATTTGGCCTAATTCCAACCCATCAGCAAATTGCTGCACCCTATGAAAATGTGTCTTGGAATAGGAGCATGGCAGAACGCTTGTTCTGCTTCCACAGAGCACTGCTCTAAACAGGACATGTTTTATTTTCTGAACAGGCTTCATATTATCCAAAAACAACAACAGGTCAGTTGCCTGGCATGACCATCTTTGTACCAGATTTTCAAACATTCCTCAATATTGTAGCAAGATTTTTTCTTTAAACAAGAAACAATTTATAGCTCTAGCACCACAATGCCCTTGCTTTTATCAGGCACAAGGCACGGATTTAGAGCATCACTGACCTGCTGGCAAATCATCCTTGTTGACCACTATTTCTTTGTTCACACTGAAGCGAATTTTTTCAGTACAAGGTGTCAGGGATTTCAGATGCCGAGTCAAAGCTCCCGATTCCCTGAAGCTTTTCCCACATTTCTTGCATTTGTAAGGTCGTTCATCTGGAAAGGGCAGGAATCAGAATGGGAATCGTGGCAAACGAACCGCGGCGGGCGCTGGTTCCATCCCCTGGTCTTCCAGGGGAACATGGTTTTTTGTCAGGGAGCTCTCGGCTCGGGGGCTGCCTTACCGGTGTGACGCCGGTGGTGCCGAATCAGAGACCCTTTTGTCCTAAAGGAGGTTCCACAGAGTTTACACTCGTAGTCCTTCCTGCTGCTGTGAGTGATCATGTGAGCTTTGAGGATGCTGGCCTGGGGGAAGAGTCTATTTTAAAACACGTTGCAAACAGTTAAGGAGCTTGCATTCAGCTGTAAAGCAGAAACACCCATTCTGAACCCAAAATGTCGCTTCTGCAAGCAGAGCGTGCAGTAAAGCACACACCTTTCACCAGGTGTGAGACACCTCAATGCCCAGCCAGCCTAACCAACTTGCTAAGCGCAGCACAGGAGAAGCTGCACTTACTGTTTTGAACGTTTTCTGGCACAGTTCGCATACGTATCGCCCGTCCTTGTTAACGAGAAGCTTGACCTTTATCAGTTCTGTGGAAAGATCCTGCTCCTGATCATCAGGATTCCCTGGATCTTCGGCGACTTCCCCATCAGCGCTGCCATTTGGGTTTTCAAAAACATGGTCTCCTGCAACGATGACTTCTTTTATGTGCCCACTATCTAGGGGAAGGACATGGAGACAGTTATGTTCTTTACAGCGGAGAAGCTTTGCAGAGCTGGAGCAACTTATTGTTGCAGGACTGTGCAAGCTAGAAAGGAGAAACGGGCACTTCAGAAGTGCAGCACAGCTGTTTAGTTTTCAGTATTGTAAGTGTTAAAACTGATGTTCACAGAATCCCAGAATGGCTGAGGCTGGAAGGGCCCTCTGGAGATGCTCCAGTCCAGCCCCCTGCTCCAGCAGGGACACCCAGCGCATGGGGCACCTCTCTGGGCAGCCTGTGCCAGGGCTCTGGCACCCTCACAGCAAAGAGGTTCCTCCTCACGTGGAGGTGGAACTGCCTCTGTTTGAGTTCATACCCGTTACCCCTTGTCCCGCCTAAGCCGTGCTGCGTGTGGGCTAGGCCAG